GCAAAGTTTCCCAGTTTCGCCTTTAACCAGCAATGAGAAAAATCTGAAACATTTTCAGCACCAGTCACCCACTGTTCCTAACTGCTTGTCAACAATGGGCCAGAACTGTGGCTCTGGCCTAAACAATGACAGTCCCGAGGCCCTCGAGGTCCCCTCTTTGCAGGACTTTAACGTTTTTTCCACAGATTCCTGCCTGCAGCTTTCAGATGCAGTCTCGCCCAGTTTGCCAGGTTCCCTCGACAGTCCCGTAGATATTTCAGCTGACAGCTTTGACTTTTTTACAGACACACTCACCACAATTGACTTGCAGCATCTGAATTACTAAAAACATTAAAGCCAAACAAAGCATCACAAAACAAAAACCCCTTTGACCAGGTGGTTTTGCCTTCTTTTATTCTGAGAGTTGATTTTTATTTTATTTTCTTCTGGACCTACCCTCTCCTTCCTTTAAATGTTGAAGATTTTCTGTTTAGTGAGTCCCCTGACCCAGTTTCAGAGCCATCTTTTACAGATTATTTTGGAGTTCTAGTTGTTTTAAATCTCATCCAACAACCCTCTATGTGATTTCCTGAAAGCAATATATGAGGCCTGCAAGAAAGTGATCATAGAATTGTACCTTCACTTTCTTTTTATTTTTGTATTACATTAGGATGCATTGTCATGCGTATTTTTGGTAGAATAAATTCTCCTTTGCTATAAGTAGCTTTCTTATTTTTTTCTCCCCCTCTTTCTCAAGGCTCATAACGGTTTCTTTTTCTTCTTTTAGTCTAACTTGGTAAATAAAATTCTCGTCATGATTCATCTTCTTTTTCAATTTTAATATATTTCTTAAGGGGGCATGTTCAAAGTCTTCAAGAGACAGCAACAAAGAAGGAAAGCCAGAAAATGGTTAAGGCTTCTGAGAAGAGTTTTGCTTTTTTTTTTTTTTCCTTAAGGGAATGGATTTGGTTTTTAGTGTAGAGGTTGAAGCCATAGATTTAAATTGGTAATAGAAACAGGATGGGGCAGCCTCAGAGTTGGGTCAAGCCCAAGCTTTTGAAAGTGGAGAAATAAAGTGCCTACAGAAACCCCAACTCCAGGATGGAGGAACATGGAGTTTCTTTAACAAGCCACCAGTCTCCAGGTCAATAACTAAGTTATCAACAATTCATTTATTTATACACATTTGTTTCAAACATCTACATTCCAACCCCCTCCCCCACGAATCTCCCCGCACATTTTCAGTGTGGTCGATCAGTCTCCCAGCTGTTGATGGGTCCAGGCAAACAGACCTAAAAGAGAAAAACAAAAATAAAACAAAACAGTGGTTACTAGCTGGAAAGTGTACTTCAGAAAGGGTTTTTTCCAATCCTCTGGTTCAGTCATTCTAGGATTCTTTTTTTTTTTCAGGGCCAGAAAAATCAATATTTCATTCTTAAATCTGTTTACATGGCAAATAATGGATCATTAAAGCTTTGAAGTCAGGTTAGCAAGTTGAGATTTAAAATGGAGTGTTTCTGCACCCGAGGTTATAAATTAACCCAGTTTCTAGAAAGAGAAAGAGAAAAAGCACTTTAAATGAATTATCAATAAAATGTGATCTAGGGTATGTTACTGGGCTGTTCTGGTTTTTTTTCTCCCTGCTTATGTCTCCCCCTGTTTGTTTTTCCCGTACTGAGCTGTACTGATGGCTACTTACTTACCGTGAGAAAACGCAGCGTGTAAGCAACATGTGTGGGGGCGGGTTGATTTAAGAACCCGGCTCTTAATAGCGAAGGCTTGGAAGTTAGAAGGAAATAGCCATCTTTCTCCACGGGTTTGCTTCCTACCTTCCCCCACCTCTTTGCCCCCTAAGTCCCAGCAGCGACGGTAGCTTGTGAGGACCCTGGCGGGTCTCCCGCCCCAGGCGCGGAGCGGAGCGGGGCGGCCCGGCCGCGGCCAGGGCTGAGCCGCTGCTGTTTTCGATTCGTCCTACGCTCATAAATCAAACGCTTTCTATGAATGAGAATGTCATCAAAGAGATCAATTGCAGGAACACATGCACAAATAAAAATCCTCTTACGTATTTGCCGGGGATCCCCGTCCGAAAGCATTAAGTTAGAAGGCGTTTAGTCATAATTCATTTTTATTGCTCTTTTAAAACAACAGCTTGGCTGAGCCGCGGATGCCATGAACAGCTCCGGGCCTCGGCGGCGTTTTGTCTCCTCCTCGTTCCTTCCTTTTCTAGTAGAAGAGCCCTGAAAGAGGCGCTTTGAGCCCAGCCAACCGTTTGCAGGCGATCAGTTAAATAGTAACCAAGCTCGCCTTTCACCCACTCTTCTGTGGCGTTTAAAGATACTTTAGCTCGAGTCGTGGCGACTTTAGCTCGAGTCGTGGCGCACCAGCCGACTTGCCCAGAGGACCAAGGGTCTCCTACACGGCGGAATGAGCCCCTGGACTTCGTGGGGGTGGGGAACGAATGGAGGTACGGAAGCCTGCGGGCTCGAGGCCAGCGGAGGCTGCCTTTGTGAGCAGCACCGGGAGAGAAATGCCTTGGGCGGCCAGCCGGGGCGGAGCCGGCTCGGCTGCAAGAACCCGGCCTGCGGGGAGCAGGGAGCAGTTCTGGGAGGCGGGTCGGTCGCTGACCCGTGTGTCTGCGGGCCTGTGTGCAAGTGCAAGCTTGTGGTTCCAAGAAAAACACCCCACCCGTGCTGGCCCAGAAAAGAGGCCTGGAGGAAGGAAGAGAGGTGGAGGGAGAGGCGCGCAGAGGCCGAGAACTAGCAAAGGAAGGAGAGCGGTGGAGGCCCGGGGCGGCTTTGTGGCGAGAGCTCTGTGGCCGAGGGGGTCGCGCAAACCTGGGCCGAGGAGGCCAACAAAAGGACACGAATGGGACATGGCGGGAAGAACGTACCCGACAGGCTTTGGCTCGGAGAGGATATTGTCTGCAATGCCAGTGCGGACTCCCTCACGTCCTGCCTCCTCCCCCCGGGAGCCCCTTCTCTCCCCATCGCTGGAGGACTGATGCTCCCAAGGAAGCCGCCTCCAGGAGGGCTGCCTTGCCTTTTCCACTCTCCAAGATGAGGTTCCCCAGGTGCTGAAATTGAGGCAGGAGTGACCTTTCCTGCCTGCACTCCCTCTTAACAGTGATTGGGGATGGGTCAAAGGTCACAGAACAATATTTCAAAAGGAAATGTTTAGGGAAGATGTTTCTCTGCTACTGAGGGAATCCATAGTCAAATGCTTGCAAGAGTTTTCCCTCTTGCTGGGACAGGTTTGGGGGGAACTTCTACATGTGGAGAACAGAACGCAGAACCCTGAAAATTTGACTAACATTTGAAATGTGACTGCCTCAAGCAAAACTTCCTTCTTCTAATTGGGAAGGGAAAACTAGAGGGGAGCGGGAACCCCAAATCCACATACAATCCTCAGATAAATTTCATCTGTCGGGTTCCAATGTGGTAAACATGGTCAGAGGGACATCTATACAGCATTAGCTGCAAAGCTTCTTGGACGATCTCTGGGTTTCTTTTACCTAAGAATGCATCAATTTCCAGCCTCTGTTTGGCCTTTTCTCTCTACAAGCCAAGGGTTGACACGAAACCTAATAGTAAACAGCAATTAACGACCCCATCAGTATCAGAGTAGGACGAGGGTGATGGAAAACAGGACCCCTGGCCTGGGATGACGTTCAGATTTGCACGTGTCTCTCTAGGGAAAGACTGAAGGTTCACACAAGGAACTACACAGTCAGTTACAAAAGGGGAGGAGGTGTTGTTGCAGAAGAAGAAAATGTCGGGTTCACCGTCAGCCATCTGTCCACCGCTCCTCCCACCTGCCGGCCCCCACCCCCACTTCAGACGTGCAGTAGAACGGGGGTGAATGGATAAAGGAAGTTCTACCACTCCTAATATCCCCATTCAGAAAAGGAGTAAACGTTTCGGGGGGAGTTCAGCGTACTTTGTTGGAGCTGTGGTCTCGCCCTTTGAGGCCCCCACCGAAGCGCGCAGGCTCCTGGGTCCTGGGGAGCCGGCAGATGGCCTGCAGCTCACGGCCCGGCCCCCACGCTGGCCACGTCCGTTATCGTCATCTCTCTCCCCCGCCTCCTACCCCCTCAAAATCCAGCGTCCGAGTAGCTGCAGATCCCGTAGGGCTCCTGAAGCAAAGCTGAGTGGGGAGGAGAAAGGGGCGGAGAGCGAAGAGAGAGGGAGGGCGAAGAACCCGGCCACCCGCGGCCTTTTCCGGCAAGCCTAGCTCCTAGGGCTCACCCGTTCCTAGGGCGTCGAATTACAGAAGCTCCTCATAGCCATGCTAATAGCCAGTGTGTGTGTTTCAGGGGGAGAGCTTCGGAGACCGTCCGTGGAGAAGGGAAGTTTCTTTTCTTTCCCTCGTCCCCTCCACGCCCACCCAGGTTCCTTCCAGCCAGCCCTCTGCGCACTTCCTTCTCCATTCGGAGGTTGGAGAGCTGGCGGCCCAGCCTCGTCCTATGCCACCGTTCTCTGCGTTCCTCACTGCCCCACGGCATCACAGCAGGAACTGTGCAGTGAAAGCGCCCGGGGACCTCCCTTCCAGTTCGGCGCGCTCCGGGCTCGGCCTGCGTGCTAGTGGCCGCCCAGCGCGCTCCGGCCCACTGATTCCCGACCCAAGAGAGCGCGGAGCTCTCTTTCCTTCTCACCTCTTGCCAGTTCAGCTTTCTTTGCACGGTGGGGAGGGGGGCGGAGACGGGGGATGCCTCCCAGCCCCCACCCCCTGGAGGGGGGCGGCGAGCGAAGTCGGCGCGCGCAGAAGGCAGCCTCTGCTCCCCTTCACCCCAGCGCTCTGAATCTGCCCTTGCAGCCACCGCAGCTGCTGCCGCCGCCTGGGCTGCCTGGGGGGGCGACTGCGCGTCACCTAGACTGAGGAGCGCCCGGGATTTAAATGCCACTGAAACGGTGATCCATCACCGCGCGAGCCAGCAAAGTTTCGCAGGAGGCTCCTCCATTGGTTGACTTAGTCACGTGCCCCTCCCCAAGTACCCTCCGCCCTCTTGCCCCCCCTCTTGCGCACTGTACATTCATATCATTTTTCTTCTCCGGCCCCATGGAGGAAGTGAGAAAGTTGGCACGGTCACCCAGGGCTTCGCAGGATCCGGTCACTCAGTGACAGATGGACAATGCAAGAATGAGCTCCTTCCTGGAATATCCCATCCTCAGCGGTGGCGACTCGGGTACCTGCTCAGCGCGAGCCTACCCCTCCGAGCATGGAATTACAACTTTCCAGTCGTGCGCGGTCAGTGCCAACAGCTGTGGCGGCGACGACCGCTTCCTAGTGGGCAGGGGGGTGCAGATCAGCCCGCCCCACCACCACCACCACCACCATCATCACCACCCCCAGCCAGCCACCTACCAGACTCCCGGGAACCTGGGAGTGTCGTACTCGCACTCGAGTTGTGGTCCAAGCTACGGCGGCGCGCAGAACTTCAGCGCACCTTACAGCCCCTACGCGTTAAATCAGGAAGCAGAAGTAAGTGGTGGGTACCCCTCGTGCGCTCCCGCTGTTTACTCTGGAAATCTCTCATCTCCCATGGTCCAGCATCACCACCACCACCAGGGTTATGCCGGGGGAGCGGTGGGCTCGCCTCAGTACATTCACCACTCATATGGACAAGAGCATCAGAGCCTGGCCCTGGCCACGTATAATAACTCCTTGTCCCCTCTCCACGCCAGCCACCAAGAAGCCTGTCGCTCTCCTACATCAGAGACGTCTTCTCCAGCGCAGACCTTTGACTGGATGAAAGTCAAAAGAAACCCTCCCAAAACAGGTCAGTCTTGCCATTCTGTGGATGCTCCTTGATGATTCTGGAAGGAGCTAGTATGCTTAGTTTCCAGGGAAAATTAATAATTTTTTTTTTAAGTTCTTCCTTCCTACCGGTGTTGCAGGGTGTGGGCCGATTGCCCAGGTGTGTTGGGGCAAAGGAGCACCTGGGACTGTTGTGTTTCCAAAGGGGTTGAGTTTTAGAGGTTCTGGAAGTGGGTAGGTCTTGGGGGGGGGGGGTGTTCTGTTAATATCTGCAGGCTCCATTAATCACAAGTCTGACCACGCTAATGGTTGACTTCAGATTAACACTTTACACCTCATCACTCACTCTCCCCAGCTCGGTTTGTGTGGAGAAATTCTTGATCGCCCCTTTACCTGAATGTTGCTCTGAAGCGTGTAGGGGATTTCATATCGATTGTAAAAATTTTTCCTTTTTCTCTCGTCGCTTCCCACCCTGACCCCAGGGAAAGTTGGAGAGTACGGCTACGTGGGTCAGCCCAATGCGGTGCGCACCAACTTCACCACGAAGCAGCTCACGGAGCTGGAGAAGGAGTTCCACTTCAACAAGTACCTGACGCGCGCCCGCAGGGTGGAGATTGCGGCGTCCCTACAGCTTAATGAAACCCAAGTGAAGATCTGGTTCCAGAACCGCCGAATGAAGCAAAAGAAACGAGAGAAGGAGGGCCTCTTGCCCATCTCTCCGGCCACCCCACCGGGAAGCGAGGAGAAGGCCGAGGAATCCTCAGAGAAGTCCAGCTCCTCGCCCTGCGTTCCTTCCCCGGGGTCTTCTACCTCAGACACTCTGACTACCTCCCACTGAGGCTGCCCCCAGCCCAGACTCCGCAGCCTAGACTCCTCCTCGGGCTGAGACTTGTTACTCAAAGCACATTCTTAGCTTATCTTCCTTTCCATTTACAGTCTCTCTTCCTTTCTGATCCTATCTGGGGAGCTCCTGGCTAGAATAATGTGTTTCCAGAGAATTCTGGACTAAAGGTTTGATTGGTGGTCGTGGTGGTGGTGATGGTGGGGTGTTAACTCTTTAATGCGGATTGAGTGCCAGCATCAATTTTCTCATGGTCCCTAATACCCCTCTACTTTTAGGAGATTTCCACAGGAAAATAGTCTTCCTTGCCAGCAGAAACATGTCAGAGGAAGGCCTCTCATCTTTTATCTATCTGCATATTTACAATTCTCCCCTACTTTGCCCTTAAAGTAGGATGGAGAGAGAGTCCAGGAGCTCATGAAGAAGAGATGCACTATGATCGTGTTTACACAATTAATTCAGCTCTTAATTTAAGTCAGTTTCATGTGTGTGAGTTTGCTGGTTGTAAATACTTTGTCCTGAGAGATTTATCTTTATACAGATTTTCTAGAAATGTTTAGATTAAGTGACTAAAACAGGGTGGGAAAACTCTTAAAGCTGGTACAATTTTATATGTGATTATAAGTTAAAGAATTAAAACCCTCATTTAAACTCAATCAGATGCCTCAGAGGACGGTCTCAATTTGTTCTTTCAGTGAGTTCAGAACAAGATTCAGAAAACTTGCTTCCTGTGCTAAGTGTCTCCCCATCCCCACCCTTTCTTGTTTCTCTGGCCACACTCGATTTAAAATTTGTGCTGGATTATTCGGAACCTAAAGATATTCTTCAAATAAGCTTTTTCCTTTCACAGTTATCTTAGCTGGACATGATGTATTTTCAGCTCAATTGTTAATGTGATGGATGGCACAATGAATGTATATTTTGTGTGATTCGTGAATAGTCTTTTGCATGTCGCACAATGTTTTGATGTCCCTAAAGTACCACACTGAGTTCTATCAGTTATCCTTTGTGAGTCTATGATATTCCCCATTTCCTGTACAATCATGAACAGCTCTGAGATCCTGCAGTGATGTGATCCAGAGCAAAGTTTACGGGTCTTAAGATGTCTGTAATAAATATATTCAAGTTTCAGATATGCTTAAGCATCTGTGTATTTGACTTGGTTATAATTTGTTGGTTCCTACAAAGTTGGCTCATTTCATGCAGGAAAGGAGAGAAGGGTGGTGTGTATTTTCAAAGAGGTGGGCCTTTTCTTGAAGACAAGTAAATGCTTTCCATTCTGTAGCTGAAGCTTCCCCTATGAGTGTAATTGCACCTAACCAGTGTTTATTTAATAGGTTTTCTTTAAAATAACAATAGCTCCCTTATTATAATCAAATTTCATAATGGAAAAAATGAATGGTGAAGAAATTTATGAAGCAGATCTATTTTTGAAACAAACATGGATACTTCGTGGGTCAAGTGCTAACCTTTTCACCTCCAACCGAATGTTGACGTATGTATAAACAGAGCCCCCTTCAAAAGCCGAAACTCTTCAGTCAGTCTTTCCTCACATCAGCGAACCAAGAGCAAGGAGATTCACATTTAATTAGCTCCAGTATAAAGCTGTTTGAGGATGGGTCCCCCACCCCATCTTTCTTCCTTCTTTTTGGATTGCCAGAGAGTGTTCCATGATATTCCACTCTTTAAACTGAGTGGGGTCTGTTTTCAGTAAACCTTTGCATCTCTCCTCTCATTCCTCCGGTCAATATCCACTCCTTCCTGCCATTTCTGCAGCTCCCCTCTCCACCCCCCTGGGTTCACATCTCATTCTCATTAGATGCAGTTTTGATTTCATAGCCATCACAGCTATAATAGATCTGCAATTCTAATTCCATGCCACCTAACCCAGAAAAAAAGGTTTCTATCTTCTTTGGGCTCAACAGGCTCTTCCAGGTAAACTTGTGGAAGCCGCCGTGGGGTCTTTCAATATTCAAGTTGCTTCCGATCAAGGCATGTATCTGCTCTTAAACAGAGGAAGCCAACAAATCAGAGAGTTCAAAGTGGCTCTCCTCCTACACTTCTTACCACTTTCCCTTTACTTTCACACATTTTTAGAGGTTTTTATCTAGCCCCAAGAGTACAGCAGAAATTTTACAGCATCACAAACAAAAACAGACATATGACTTCCTTCCTCTCCAAAGGGTGTTTCACAAAGAATGAGCAGGGGGTTGGGGGAGAAATCCTACAAAAACTTGGAATTTGCAGGCCTCCTATAGCACCCGTGAGATTTCCTGTACTTCCCTGTCAAAGGGGAAGCCTGGACTTTGCAGGCACTGTTGCTGCGGCCATATCAAGGGCACCCGGTGCTCTCCCCTCGGCTTCTGGGTTCTGGGGTTGCCTCTAAAAGACTCAAGTGGATGCAGGAGAACTTCAAAGTCGGCCAACTCTTTCTTTTCCCTGCCTGGCCTTATACGGTATCTTTTGTTTATTAGTGTAAGGCCACACAGCAAAACAGATGGCTGGTTTCCAAATACTTTAATGTGTTAAAATGTCATTTGCATGCCACTGCCATGATTTCAATATCTAAAAGCAGGGCCCGACCAGCTGGAATCCCAGAGATTCCAATCTTCAAGGTGCTGTTTTAATGTAGCTGAGAGGAGAACGATAAATTATGGCTGACCATCCCAAGCCTTCTCTAGGTCGTGGAATAAATCAGTTAACAAGCAATGCATTTAGGAAACATTAATATACCTTTCAACAAGGAAAACATTTGTATCTTTTTAGTTGTCCCAATCAATTAAATCAAAGGCGCTTAACACATTCTATTTCAAGGTCTCCCTTTTTCCACTTTGGTCTCTGAGGAGCACAGTTAGCTCCTTGAAAAATGACAGCAATGGTAACTGAAACAACAAAAAAGGGCAAACAGAAAAGAACATTTTACTGATAAATTAAAAAGGACAAGAGTCTCAGTTAGGGACTTTAGATAACTGCAATATAAAATTCCAGTTTCAAATGCTTTTTCCTCACTTCCCTCACATTCATTCAGAGTACTTCCGAAATTCAGGGTGTCCTCAAACTAGGCTGAGTTGAGATGGTGCTGCGGCTCTGAAGTCTGCTCTGGGCTTCACCTTTGAAAGTTTACTTTTGGAGGCTATTCAGATGCCGCGGTGTTTTCCTCTGGGGCAATCAGATTCAAACCGATCAATATTTACTCAGTCTGAAAGGGTTGTTGAAAAGGCTGCTAACAACAAACTGCTTAGCTGCTCACCCCTGTTTAATCTCAGGTTCACCGAAAGTTCAAGAAGAGATGAATGCAGTGATGGGTCACTTTAGAATGAGTCCCAGCGGTTTATCTGAGCTCTCCGCTAAAGGCAACAATTATAGTTCCATCCCTCTTTGGGAAAGGGGCAACTTTCCTATTATTCTTTTGCTAAACATTGTTTACTAGAAACTTAAAACACTTTCCTCTCCCTTCTTGGCTCTTTTTTTGGGGGAGGAGGGAGAGGAGCTTCCAGCTGCCCTTCTCGTCCTCCTGCCTCCTCTTCTAGCTTTCTGCCAACCCACTAGGTTTCATTTGACTTAAAATAAATCACATTGAATATTTAAAACACATTAAATTAGCCTGACAGAAGAGATCCAATTTATTTCAGATGCCATGAGCTATGAAATGAAGCTCTTTGGGCCATTAGAGTTGATCTTCTTTGAGAAAGTACAGGGCAAGATTGAACTGAAATCCGTTTGCGTTTGAGTAATATCGACAATCAGAGCCCCAATACCCATCTGAGATGGCTGTTTAGACAGGAGTGGTGGGGAGAGGTGGGGGAATTGACTTGTGCAGAAGCAAATACCTCATGTGGAAAGTCAACTTTAAAATTTTACACCCTCCTAGTGCATGAACTACTAAGATGAAAAAGGAAGACCCAAGAAAGCCAGTAGGGAATGGTGGGAGAAGATGCCGGACACTAAAGCTAATTGCTACAGCTCTTCAGAGGTCAAAGTTCATGTAATCACTGCATAAATGCATACTAAATAGGGACTTATTAAGCTTTTCTGATGGCTGAGCACGTCTGTGGAAAAAACGGTCACTGCTGTTTGTGTTTCTTCCTGAAGAATAATAATCCTTGCAGTAGAAGCTCTAAGAGTCTGAGTCTTCAATTTACTATTTTGAATGACAGGCAACCTTTCTGTTTCAAAATTTTGAAATCAGTGCCTGGACAGCACCTTTCTTTGTATTGGATAGGATTGTAAAATACCTCTCTCACTCTTAGAAATACTATGGCTTTTTCAACACACACAAGAACACAAGTTAGCATATCCTTATCAGATAAGCTACTCACTAGAGAGCTAACTTTGGTGACCCTCTGCTGTAGATCAGGCTACTTTTTGCCTGCATTTCTGATAGCACACACAAGTTCTGCCTCACGACTTCTTGTGCCTAGATGACCAGAATTGAAAGGGACCCATCTACCAACCTCTCATTTTATGAGTCAGAAAAATAAGATGCCCAAAGGTGGCTTGATTTGACTTAGAGCACATAGTATCAATACTCTTACTTCCTAAATAAAAAACGGAGTGGCTTAGAACCTGAGGCCAGTGAACTTCTTAATTCTAAGTTCCTGATTCAATTTTGTGCCTTCTCATTTATTCTACGTGATTTGTCTCAGGCTGGATAGTGTTTACATTTTTCCACTTCTGGCTTACTAGCCACCCATTTAGTCAAGTCCTTGATTTTGAGGCCATCAGAATTACTGAATCTTTGAAACAACCTCCCAGTTGAATATTTCTGCCATCTTGTTTGAACAATAAAATCTTGGGCTACTTGCTCTTAAAGACATCTACTCTTAAAATATAAAAATAGAGATGGAGAGAGGAGGTAAAATTCAACACACATATGTTGTTGTTGTTGTTTTTAAACCTACGCTAGGGAAGAATAAATGAAAGAGGAGTTAACTGCACCCAAGTTCAACCTCCATTAAATTGTCAAGACGTGTCAGCTAGAAAGGGCTTAGAGCTGCAAGGAACATTCCAGGAGTTGTCTTATCCCTGAATCTTTTTTGTGTGTGTTTGTTTCTGTTTGGTTTGTGGCACACTATAGCCTCCTGAATTGTTCTGATCCATATTTCTTAATTTTTTCCATGACTCACTCACATACCTAAAACACACACACACACACACACACACACACACACACACACACACACGTCAAGCCCAAACAATTAACATAATGTTTCCTGCAACACAACTTTCCACATTTTCCTTCCTCTCTGGGGTCCTTCTGACCTCAGCAGAACCTGCTGCCTGAAAGGATATCTATGGCTATCAGTGTTTGAAAAGCTGAACTGGAAACTCTAGCGTTTTAGAGCCTTATTTTTAATTATACCAGTCATCAAATATAGCTGACCTATATTGCAGAACTGCAAACCAAGTATCAATCAAGCAACTTTGCTCCATAGACGCTAGCCTACAAACGCTTTTTCTTTCCTTTTCCTTTTTTTTTTTTTTTTTTTTGGCCAATCGCAAAGCCCAATCGCGTCCTGCAAAACATCCTGGAAAGACTTCATTTGGGGTTTATTAGAAATAAGTGAAAAGACCAATGTTTCCTTTTTAACATTTCCAGACACAACTAAAATATGTATGTCCATTTTTTGAACAGCCCATTAATTTTTTCTCATTAAAATGTGTTTGTAAAACCTCTAGTCCCAAGGCTAATCTATAGGAATCAGATTGTTTCGCGTTTTCATTTTAGGCTTGGGTGTTACTTGGTTAGGCAAAAAGAATACGCAATTGGTTGTAATAGAAAATAAAGGAAAAATTATCAAATGATTTTTCTTTTTAAACTAGGAAACTTTTTAGCCGCGCTGGACATTTAAAAAATTATGACCCGCTTCCTTTTAAAAGAAAAAAGGCCACAAAAGCGTGAGAATGCAGAAAGCGAGGATTTAAAGTGGTAGGACGCCCCCTCCACCACCAGCCCCCGCTCCCAGAAATATCAGCAATACGGTTCTGGGAAAGCAAGAGCGGGCATCTTCCATTCTGAGGAACGAATGGGGTCCCTCCTCGGGAACGCGCAGGGGGCAGCTGCCCGCGCCTCGGGGACCGCTCGGCTCCGCGCTCAGCTGGCCGGCTCTGCCCGCTGCAGACCCGCGCCGGCGTCGTGGCGGCCCGGCCGGTGCAACGGCCTCGGGGATGCCCCCCGGGCTGCGCGCGCCCGCGGCGGGGAGGGGAGTCCCCGCACCGGGTTGAGACGACTTTCCTTCCTCAGCTTCCCCGCCCTCTCTCTCCGAATTCTTGAATTCTTCAGCCCGGGCCGCCGCTGCCCTCCTGGTCCCTCCGGGCCGCACGCGCGGCAGGGAGCGAGCAGCATCCGGTCCCTTCCGGAGCGCGCAGGCGGCGCCTTCTCAGCGTGCGCCCGGGGTGGGTCGACAGCGACCGGGACGGGAGGCGGGAGCGTTCCCGGAGGCTGCGGAGAGCCCCGCTTTGTCTCAAGGGACCGCTGGGCAGTTTCCTCCTTTTCCCGCCCGCATCCCTCTGCTTCCAGGTGCTCCAGGAAGTCGCCGGAGCTGAAGGTGGGCCTAGAATGCCGTGGGCGCTGCCCGACGCCCAGTGAGGGGTCTCGGGGCTCCGTCTCGCCACGCGGGGTGAAGGACGTAGCTACTCCAGAAGTACTCCTTTCCCAGGAGAAACAACTGGTTCCCTGGTTTGTCCCTCTGAGATTTAAAAGGGAAAGGGAGCTTTTACTCCCTGTCTGTTCTCTTCCCGTAGTTTCAAAATACGTTTAGTTGAATTACATATTCAATTTCCGTATTGGGGAGTGGTGGGGGTTGCAGGTGTGATGAGTAGAGATCTCCAAACATCGGAAGTTCCTAGAGAGACGAGTGCTTCTCTAGTTAGGGAAGCATCCTTGCTTCTCGAATGTCCTCTTCTCATTCAGTTGCAGAGTCAAACCCCACCTTGTCTCAAATTTCACTGCTTTCTAGAAAGTTTCCCGTACTACTTGCCACTCTTTCAGCTGAGCCTCTCCTGAGAACTCCGCCCTTTACGCAGGAAGCTTTGTTAGACAACACCTAAGTGGGATTGTGACGACTATCCATGTGTGTTAGTCTTGGCTCCCTCGAATGGATCTTAAGCTTCTTGAGGGCAGGGCCCTTGACTTGCAATTACATGAAGAGACGGTCCCTGTGGAAAGAGCTCTGGAGAGGAATTCAGGACACCTGTGTTTAGTCTTTTCTCATTCACAGTATGAGCTTGGGTAGATACTTTATCTTTCTATACTTCCAGAATTCTTGAACTGTAAAATAGGCGACTGTTCTTGTTGACTTTTAAGTTGTCCTCTAAAATTTATGTGGCTTTTCAGTATGCTGTTTAATACTGTGTTTATCCAGGATTTCTCTGAGCCAAGCCCCGATGTCAAATGCTTTACGTACATGAACTCATTGAATCCTTACTCAGCAAGCAAGTATTTTGATTATTTTGATTTTACAGTAAGGAAATGGAGGGGTCCAAGATGCTAGGTAACTTATCCACTGAATCCAGAGCCCAAACTCTTGCCAACTTTGTTGTAGGGCTTCTCCACAGGGCCAGCTGGGTAAGTCCTCTACACAGTTATCAGGCTGTTGTTGTTTGATACAGGTACTATAGTGGGTAATTGCAAGCTAATAAAGAATTAGACAGCTGGCAGAACTGATTGTTTAATATCAGACATATATGCAAACTGTGGCTACACATTCTTGGGAAAATACGTAAATGACAAATATTTGAATGAAAAAGCTGAAGAGAGAGGTCAAATCTAACAAAGACAATGAGAGGAATATTTTAACAATAAAAGTCTTTTTTCATATCTGACATTAATTGATTATGGGAATTATTTTCAGGAAGAAGATAGATATCCTTTATATTCACAAATTATGTCTGTGGCACTCCTAACATGTGGACAAAAATGGAAATATTCAATGTAAAATACAAATGTTTTGTCTCTGTGAAAGCTAGCAACGGTATGGTTGAAAACATTTGAATGCGTGATATTACAACCCTCAGTTTTCATTTGGTTATTTTATATACAGGCATACCTTGGACATAAGGTGGGTTCAATTCCAGACACCACAATAAAGCAAATATTGCAATAAAGTGAGGCACACAAATTTTTTGGTTTCCCAGTGCATATAAAAGTTATGTTTACATTATACTGTAGTCTATTAAGTATGCATAGCATTTTGTCTAAAAAACCATGTCATACCTTATTTAAAAATATTTTATTGCTAAAAAATGCTACCTATTGTCTGAGCCTTCAACGAATTATAATCTTTTTGCTGGTGGGGGGTCTTGCCTCAATGTTGATAGTGCTGACTGATCAGGGTGGTGGTTGCTGAAGGTTGGGGTGGCTGTGGTGGATTCTTACAAGAAGACAACAATGAAGCTTGCCGCATCGATTGACTCTTCTTTTCATGAGCCATTTCTCTGAAGCATGTGATGCTGTTTAATAGCATTTTACTCCCAGTAGAACTTCTTTCAAAATTGGAGTCAATCCGCTCAAACCCTGCTGCTGCTTTATCAACTAAGTTTATGTAATATTCTAAATCCTTTGTTATCATTTTAACAATCTATACAGCATCTTCACCAGGAGTAGATTCCATCTGAAGAAACTACTTTCTTTGCTCACCCATAAGAAGCAACTCCTCATCTGTTAAATTTTTTATCATGAGATTGCAGTCATTCAGTCACATGTTCAAGCTCCACTTCTAATTCTAGTTCTCTTGCTATTTCCACCACATCTGCAGTTACTTCCTCCACTGAAGTCTTGAAACCCTCGAAGTTGTCCAAGAGGGTTGGAATGAACTCTTCCAAACTCCAGTGAATGGTGATATTTTGACCTCTTCCCATGAATCACACATGTTCTTAATGGCATCTAAGATGGTGAATCCTTTACAGAAGGTTTTCAATTGACTTTGCCCGGGTCCATCAGAAGAATCACTATCTATGGCAGCTATGGCCTTATGAAATGTATTTCTTAAATAATAAGGCTTGAAAATAGAAGTGACTCCTTGATCTGTGGGCTGCAGAATGGATGTTGTGTTAGCAGGCATGAAAACAACATTAACGTCGTACATCTCCCTTAGAGCTCTTGGGTGACCAGGTGCATTGTCAACCAGCAGTAATATTTTGAAAGGAATCTTTTTTTCTGAGCAGTATGTCTTAACAATGGGCTTAAAATAGTCATTAAACCATGTTGTAAACAGGTGTGCTTTGTTATTCCATTTACAGAGCACAGGCAGAGTAGATTTAGCATAATTCTTAACGGCCCTACGATTTTTGCAATGGGAAATGAGCACTGGCTTCAATTTAAAGTGACCAGCTGCATTAGCTCCTAATAAGGGATTCAGCCTGTCCTTTGAATCTTTGAAGCCAGGCATTGACTTCTCCTCTCTAGCTATGAAAGTCCTAGACTGCATCTTCTTCCAACATAAGGCTGTTTCATCTACATTAAAAGTCTGTGGTTTAGTGTAGCCACCTTCATTAATGATCTTAGCTAGATCTTCTGGAGAACTTGCTGCAGCTTCTGCATCAGCCCTTGCTGCCTCACCTGTGCTTTTATGTTATGGAGTCAGTGTCTTTCCTTAAACCTCGTGAACCAACCTCTGCTAGCTTGAAACTTTCCTTCTGCAGCTTCCTCCCCTCTCTCAGCCTTCACAGAGTTGGAGAGAGTTAGGGCCTTACTCTGGATTAGGTTTTGGCTTAAGGGAATGTTGTGGCTGGTTTGACTTTCTATCTAGATCACTATAACTTTCTCCATATCATCAATAAGGCTGTTTTACTGTCTTATCATTCCCCTGTTCACTGGAATTTTAATTTCCAGCACTTTTAATTTCCTTTAAGAACTTTTCCTTTGCGTTTACAACTTGGCTAACAGTTTTGCACAAGAGACCTAGCTTTCAGCCTGTCTTGGCTTTCAATTTGATGCCTTCCTCACTAAACTTAATCATTTCTTGGTTTTGATTTAAAGTGAAAGATGTGTGACTCTTCCTTTCGCTTGAACACTTAGAGGCCACTGTAGGGTTATTAATTGGCTTAATTTCAATATTGTCATGTCTTGGGGAATAGAGAGGCCCAAGGAGAGGGAGAGAGATGGGGAAATGGGAGGTCAGTGGAGCAGTCAGAACACACACATTTATTGATTAAATTTGCCTTCTTACGTGGGCGTAGTTCATGGTGCCCCCAAACAATTACAATAGCAACATCAAAAATCACTGATTGGGGGCTGGCCCCATGGTGTGGTGGTTAAGTTTGCACACTCTGCTTCAGCAGCCTGGAGTTTGTGGGTTTGGATCCCAGGTGCAGACCTACATACCACTCATCATACCATGCTGTGGTGGCATCCCATATACAAAATAGAGGAAGATTGGCACAGATGTTAGCTCAAGGACAATCTTGCCCAAGCCAAAAGAGGAAGATTGGCCGCAGATGTTAGCTCAGGGCCAACTTCCTCATACGCACACACAAAAATCACTGATCATAGATCACCATAGCAAATGTAATAATAATGGAAAAGTTCAAAATAATATGAGAATTACCAAAATGTGACAGAGACATGAAGTGAGTAAATGTGCCAATAGACTTACTTGACACAGGGTTGCCACAAACCTTCAATTTGTAAAATACACAATGGCTAAATCTAGTCACAATTTACACTTGAAGAAAAAAAGAAGAGACTAATTCATCTTCATCCTAAAGGGCTAGTCCCCATAGTTTACAACTTAGCCCTTCTTGACTAAGAATAACCAGAGGAGCCAGTTTCGACTAGAACTTGAAGGAATATAGTATGAGGCCTAAAGAGAACCAGTCTTTAGAAGCCAGGTATTCCCACAACACAATTCACATGAAGTCAGATTAAGAGTTGCAGTAAAAGAACATTCTTTGCTCCTTCCTACTTTTCTAACTTTCATAAGTGAACAAGGACTTGGCATAATTACAAACATTACAATATTACTGATATTATTTAGTTATAGAATCATGGAACCTAAGACAAGAAGAGACATTAGATGTCATCTAATCCAATTTTTCCAATTCACAGGTGAAGAAACTGAGGCCCAGAAAGGTGCTAGCAGCAATAGTGGTAAGAAAAAATATTTACTTATATCTTTAATATACACTTAAGTGGATATTAAGAATGGCAGGCAAAATTAATCTCAGGCTAGATGTATTAATAACATTAATAATTAATTACTGTATTAAGTATAGTGATTACAGTAATTAATTGCAGTAATGATTAAATACTGAAGACCTAAAAGTTATTAAGAATAAGCATGTTTGAATAACTAGATATATGGCTAGAGGGTCTCTCCTTCCTACTTTCCTCTATGCATCCTACAGAGTGACTGCCCAGCTCCCTGCTATCCCATAGGTAAACAGAAACTGGCTGATCCATTTTATTTCTTCCATTTCTGAAATTCTTTATGTGGTTTGACAGATGAGACAGAGACAAAAAATCAAGAAGAAAGCCAAGTTTCTTAATTGCCCTGCCTAAGCTACTCAGATGGCATATTAGCTCCCTGGTTGCTGCTTGATTCAGGCTCTGTGGAAGTTGAGGGCATTCTGGCTTCATTGATGTGTTCCCTGTGGACCACAAGGACTTCACCTGCAATTCATTATCTTATATAAAAAATACTCCTCTACGAGAGAGATCCAGACGTTAACAAGTTGTGACAACTTATTTTTTTATGTTAACATTTATTGAAGGCTTTCTTTGTACCTGATGCTGAGCTAAGAGTTTTATATGTATCATCTCAGTTATTCTTCACAGCAGCCCTATGATGTGGGTTTTATTATCCCCATATACAGGTGGGGAAACTGAGACTTAGGGAAGTTCTGTAAGTTTCTGACCATTACACAGTGAGTGATTAGTAAAGTTGGAATTGGCAGCCCATTCATTTAATCCTCACATGTGAAAGCCTCATATCTTAAGAATGTAAGAGTAATAATGTAATTAATACTAACCTTAAATTTCATTTCAGATTAAAAATATTTATATTTTAGAAGAGTGGGGTTAGGTTGTTATATATATGTTATATATGTATACTATGAAAGATCTTAATTTTTTAAAATAAAAAATATTAAAAGTATATAACTGTACACATGCACATAAAAAAGTTTATTTTTCTATCTGCAGTTTTATTGCTGACAGAATTGAAGCTCTCAGAATAAGAATGACTTGCTTGCAATGCTCATAGTATAGTGAAAAATAGCATGATTCTATTATATCACACAGATAAAATTATTATAGAAAGAAAGAAAAAAAAAGACCAGTAGCATCACATTCCCGCAAAGATAGCTGTTTTCTTTAGGCCAGTCTTTGTCCCTATGCATACTTTTACTTCAGGGCCATTATTGTGTGCCATGATTTTGAATTCTACTTTTGTCATTTATGTTATATAATAAACATTATCTGTGTTTGTGTGGCATAATTTTTATTTAATAATTAGTTAAAACAGTGTATGTGCACTTATTGCATCAGATATTTTTCTTTCTTTCTTTTTCTTTTTTTAAACATGAATGATTGTTCACCTATGGAAAGAATACAAGAAACTGAACAGTCTTTGCCTTTTTAAAGATTTTATTTTTTATTATTTCCTTCTTCTCCCCAAAGCCCCCCAGTAAACAGTTGCGTATTTTAGTTGTGGGTCCTTCTAGCTGTGCCATGCGGGACGCTGCCTCAGCATGGCCTGATGATCAGTTCCATGTCCGCGCCCAGGATCCGAACCAGTGAAACCCTGGGCTGCCCAAGCGGAGTGCACGAACTTAACCACTCGGCCATGGGGCTGGCCCCTCTTTCTTCTTTTTTCATTTGAGTAGGATTAATCCAGCCAACATCTGCACCTTTTATGTTTAGGGAATTTCTCACTGTGAGTCAGAAAAGGCCATATCCTTGCTTTCTCCGTAGCCTCATCTATTTTCAGCACATCCATGGTGAAAGGTCTAGAGATGGCATCCAGCAGCAACCAGGTTAGTGGTTTAGCAGGGCAGGTGGCAGCCTCAGGGTTTGGGGCAGGGGCAGTGGGGTCTCCCCATCAGACTGGCTCTGTGGTGACATTTAACTCTGGCTCCGGCTGCCAAGCTTTCCATTTTTTCAAGTTTAATTTCCAGTCTTCCCAGCAATTTTCTGAGCTACCCATATGATCCTTTTCCAATTAAACACCAATAGTCAGGTTCTATTGCTAACAACTCACTATCCTGATACATGTACTGTGTGATGTACCAAATGATGGTACTTTGAAATTTTTAGGGCCTGTGGGCTGTGGCCTGGAATCGTGGGAGGGAAGTTGGACAACATGATTTGGAAAGTATCTATATAAGATGGGCCAGATGGCAGCTTCTTCAAATTCCATTTTCTGTCCTTCCTCAGCTTGGGGCTCTTTTAATGCACACTCTTTTTCCTTGTTAAACCTAAACAAATACATAAAAAGAGCCAAAGATGGCCCTTTTTTTTGCCCACTCAAAAAACAAATGTATCTAATTGAGTTGTAGAACAGAACTCATTTCCTATTTTATTTTACAGCTTTCCTCTCTTACCATCTTTGGCAGTTCTTCTGAGACTGAGCCTATGTGTACAAGAGTCACTGACTTGTTGATAGCTTGCATTGTGCTAGGCACTGTGCTAAGCACTTTACATGGATTGGCTCCTTTAAATGCTCTCCATAACGCTATGAGGTGTAGGTACTATTATAATTGCTATTTTAAAGAAGAGAAAACTGAGGGGGGAGCTCACCCAGCTAGAAAATGGCAAAGCTCACTTTTTTTTTCTAGTATGCTTTTTTGGTGAGGAAGATTGGCCCTAAACTAACATCTGTTGCCAATCTTGCTCTTTTTTTTTCTCCCCAAAGCCGCAGTACATAGTTGTATATCCTAGGTCACTCTAGTTCTTCTATGTGGGATGCTGCCACAGCATGGCTCAATGAGCAGTATGTAGGTCTGTGCCTGGGATCCAAATTGGCAAACCCTGAGCTGCCAAAGCAGAGCACCGGAACTTAACCTCTCAGCCACAGGGCCAGCCCTGAAAGCTCACTTTTCAACTTAGCAGCCTGGCTCCTGAGCATACATTCTTAATAACGTCATTCATACTCTTTCCCTTAACTGGCTTGACTAACCCGATTTTTCCTTTTCTTATCTTTCCTCTTTCTCACCTCTCTCCCTAGTTTTTTCTTTCTTATTTGAGAATGACATGCAGGCATCCAGTCCAGCCCCTGAATGAGCATCCATAATTGTGTGAGATGAGTGGTTCCGTACGTATCAGCTGCAGGTGCCCTTGAGAAGCACCTATAGGTTTGCTCTTCTGGTGCTAGGAATTCCTTCCGGCTTCACCTCTTCCTGCTCTCCACTAACTCTATCCCCCCTCAACCTGGAACTTCTGCTCTCATCTCCTTACTCTAGTTTCTTTTTTGCTGGCTTGTATTTGAATCCTGCCTCATGACTTTGCTCCTTCATTAATAAAAAACATTTATTCAGAGATGATGTAAAACTTTACGGAGAGAAGATACCATCCTTTTTCAAGGTGTTTACAAATCATAATGAAGCATATAACCTATTACCTAATTTATGTTGTATTACCTTATTTATTAATATTTTTACTAGAATTTAGTTAGGCATTTAAACTTTTAGGATTTTATTTTAAAAGTCCTGTAGAGCAATTGAGGTGACCTTCCTCCCTAAAATATGTTGCTTGAGAGTAAGCCTTTAATTCTGGCTGAGGCAGTGATCAACATGTGATTTGCGCTGAATGCTAAGGTTTTATGATGACATTTTCTAGAGAAGACAAGGTGTCTGGGAAATGTTAACATAAACTTCATGCCTCCAGTTTGACTCTGAAAGCCAAGGGAATGGAAAGAGAAGAGAGTGAGAATTATAGAAACTTGGGGTTTTTAAGTGTTTGTAAGTCAGAAAGGATGAAAAGGAGTATAAGATAGATGGAAATGGCCCTAGAGAGATTGTGTGCTTAGGAAAAAGGGGACCTAATTTTAGGAAAATTCTGGAGATGGAGTCTAAGGATGCTATCAAGTTGGACAGAGTTCTTATGGTTCTCACGGTGATTGGGTTTTCTAGATCCAGTGCTGGAATATGGGAGAGACTAAGGAAGTTTAAAACAAATTTGTTGTTTGAAAAAAAGAAAATAGAGTTAGGAAGAACTATAGAAACAAAGATAATTTACGCATAATTTAATGTGTCTGTGCAATTATGCATATGTTTATGTGTGTATATATCTCTGTAGGAAGAGCCTTTCCTCTTAATGCCACGCAGCTCACATTGTTCACCTGCCTGAGTTCCGTCCAAAGCCCTTTGTTGCCCCAGGGACTTGGCAACTTGGCATTGATCCCCCACCCCCACCCCATTTTTTCCTAAAACCTTGAGGCCTTAGCTAAATGATGCTCCCTCAGAGAGGCCTTAATTTAGTACCCTCTTTGTTTCCTTTACACACTATCACCTTTGGCAAATGTAGTTTTACACTTTTTGTCTCTCCTTCTAGACCATAGGCAACCTATGTCCAGAGCGCTTTTCTGTCTATTCACCACTTCATGTTTCCCCTACATAAAGTACCTGTTACACAGTAAATGCTCAATAGACGTTGAATGAATATTTATATTAACTAGGGTCCAGCTAAGCTGCTATAACAAAGAAACCTAAAAATACAGTGGATTAAATATGGCTGGAAGTTTACTTCTCTTGCATGTGAAATTTCAGAGGAATGTGAGAGCCCAGATGGGTGGGGTGCCTTAGCACCATGAAGTCATTCACAATCTGGCTTTCCTCCATTGTGCTGCTCCAACGTTCCTCAGGTCTTGTCTGCATGATTGAAGCTATGTCATCGCCACATTCTCATTTCAGTTTTTAGGAAGAAGGATAGAATGAAAGTGGAGGGCAAGGAATTTCCTACAAAGTAAGTGACTGGTAAGGGGCACACATCATTTCCACTCACATTTTATTGTGATAAACTTAGTCATATGGCCACCTAGTTGCAAATGATACTAGGAAATGCTGTCTCCGGGTGGGTGGCCACCAGGGAGCCATCTAAAATGGAAGGAGAGAATGGGTGTTGGAGACTAACTAACCATCTTCCTTGTTGTT